CTCCTTCCCCCAGCAAGCCGTGGTGGGCTCCGCCGGAGCCCCCGCCTTTGGGGGCTCCCTGGGGCTGGGGGGCCTCTACGGCGCCGGGGCCACCCAGGGCTCGGGGGGCCTCTGCACCTTTGGCAGAGCTCCCGCCTGCAGCCCTTGTGTCCTGCCCCGCTCCTCCAGGAGGATCTGGGACACCTGCGGGCCCTGCTAGGCCTGTCCCTGGAGCCTTTATTTCTGCCAGGATTGGGAAAACCTCCAATTTGTTCATCCCAAGTGTTGTAACCATGAATCTTTTCCTTAAGTCTTTTCTCTTTCCATTGTAAATTGTCTAAATTGCAGTCCTTCATGTTGTCTGTTGTAAAGCTCCTATGTATCACTATGTCAGTGTCCTTTCTTTCTCTTTGTCTGCATCATGTCATTTATATGAACCTCATGTCATATATTGCATTTATTTAGCTCTTGTTTAAGTTCAATCTTGACAATTGCATGACTTGCAGTTTTTAACTTCATGTTTTCAATTTTTTTTGTTCCCTCTGTTTCCCCATGCTTGTACACTCGTTGTGATATATTCAAGTGGTTTCCCCAATAAATCTACTATGCATCAAACTTTTGTGTTGTTTTCATCTCTTTTTTTTTTATTCTAAACATTGTTGAGTATTCACGTGCTCATAGGGCAGATGATTTTCTTATTCTCTGCCTTAACCCATATTTTCTGTTTCCCTGCAGTGATATTGTCTATTAGTTCTTTTGACATATATTTTTACTGTTGATTATTTTAAACTGCGTTATTGTTCAAGCCCAATTTATCATGCTTGTCATAGAAAGACCATTGTATTTGCAGATTTAAAATATCATTTGCCAACCTTTATGTATTTTCTTTCTCTTCAAGTTCTTCTCTTCCAAAATTCTCTCCTGCAGAATATTCCCATAGGAGTTCTTGTCTTGTCATTTTTCCTTTGTCTTTTTCCCCCTTTTTTTTTTTAATCAGTTCTGCTTAGTTGATCTTCATTATCATATTATTATCAGTATATTTTAAAATACATAATGAATTTCCCCTGGTTCATGCTGTTACTCTTCTGGTATAAAAACTTTCAGTTTCTGCATCTTCCATGAAAATCATTTCCAAATTCTCCCCACTTGGTTACACTTACTCAGTTTTTAAGGAACTTTAAGGCATTAGTGGCTCTGCAGACCAGTGAAATATTCCTGTCTCTCGCCTAAAAAGGAGAAATCATAATAAATATTGTAAATATGACCCTTCAGCTCTTTTCATCTGCTCTCTTTTACATCCAACCCTTCAACCTCGCCCTTTCTCTTTGCTTGAAGGTCTAGAGAGACCCTGGAAAAGGTCCCAGGAGGGCTGGGAACACCCTGTGGAAGGAGCAAACTCCCCTGGATGACACAGAAGGGAAAGTCAAAGCAGGGCAGGGCCAGGCCTGGGAAGGGCCAGCGGCTACGAACAATCTGAGGAGGGCAGGGAGGTCTGGAGGCTCCTCCCTGGTCGCACCAGGGCTCTTCCTCACCCTTGGGCCACGCAGGTCTCGCTGGAACAACAAAAACAGGAGGCACAAACC